TGTGTGTGTGTGTGTGTGTGTGTGTGTGTGTGTGTGTGTGTGTGTGTTGATAACATCATTTTCCTCCCACAGTTCTTAGGCTCAGGAGTACCGGAAAAGAAGATGTCAGATGCCACCGTTGGGCGAGGGCAAGGGGAGAGGGAGGAGAGGGATGTGAACAGTGCTACCGAGGCCAGGGAAAAGAGCCAAAGACTTGGGAAGAAATGATGCGGGGCGCCCAGCGGCGGCTGGTGTTTGTGGTGTACTGAAGTACAGGTTTCTGTCTGTTCCTGCAGTCATGGGTCAGCAGTACCATTGAAGCAGACGCTAGCCTGAATCTGTTCAATGTGACAGAACAGGATGAAGGAGAATACCTTTGTAGAGCCAACAATTTCGTAGGCATAGCCGAAAAGCCATTTTGGCTCCACATTCGCAAATCCAGACCAGGTAACTGTAGACTGACTCTGTCCCAAAGCCTTAGCGACACGCAGGAATGAGCTTTTAACATTTTAAAGAAACTGATCAAGTTGTTTAAAAAAAAAATCATTTGGTTACACACTCTATCATCTGGTGCTGAATGGCTTGATCTTAATTCTTTGCTATGTATATGTGTGTGTATATGTATATTTATACATATAGTATGTGTCAATGTATATATATACATGTATATAATATATGTATATACTTTTGGATTAAAATGTCAATCATCAAATGCAATGGAAAAATTCCCACAATAAAGTGACTGAACTTTTTAAACACAGAAACACCCCGTCTTCTCAATACGCTCTCTTTCTAGAAATTTACCCCCTTTCCATGATGAGTGCTAGACTTAGGAATGCATGCTTGTGACCATTCCCATCAAAATACGGTAAAGTTAAAGGGGTCCTAGGTGTTAGGTAGGGTCTTAAATGACCTGGGTTTGAGTTTTGGTTCTGCCATTCATTTGCTGAGTGACTGGTCAAATCACTGCCCTTCTTGGGTTTTGCCACTCTGTAAAATGAGGGGCATTGGGCTGAATGCCAGCTAGCAGCCCACTTATGAGCAGGGTCACCTACCCGTATTGATTATATTCTTAGAAGAACATAATCACTGGTCAGAGTCAGGGTCCAGCCTGCCAAAAGACATGGTCCAGCAGCATTGTTAATACGTGCACTCACTTCATTCTAATCCACTTCCTTCTACCCACCTCTAGCCTCTGTCCAATCCCCTTCCCCACCTTGCCTGATCCTCAAGCTACAAACAGTGTATGTTACACTGTTCTTTGTGTATGTTACAAGTTCTTTGGCCGTGTTAGCCTGTAATCTCCAAAGTAGGCCCTCCTTAATCCCCACCTCTGAGAGGTTGCCTAGCATGATGAAAGGAGCACAGGATTTGGAGAGTCAAATCTTGACTCTTGTCACTTGCTAGCTGTACAGATTCCACCCTCTCAGTTTCCTCATTTAAAATGAGGGGGTTAGACTAGATGAGGCCCCTTCTAGATGAGGCTCAGAGGCCCACCATCTTGTACTGAGACAGATGAGCCTTTCCATTCTTTTCTTCACCAGTTCACACTCATCTTTGAGCTCCTAGCTCATCCCTGAGCCCACTGTACTAACACCCCACCCCAGTCACATTGTGGGGCGACTTTTCCATTGAGATGATTTTGCTTGCATGCTGCCGCTTTAGTGGGACAGAGTAAATGCCTGGTGAAGGGAACCCCTTGCTTTCAACTACAGGTTGCCAGTGGGGTCTGGAATGAAAGGGAAGATGGGGCCGTGTGAATTACTTTTCGGTTTGGTTTGATTTGGTTCTCAATCTGTGTCGGACAATTTGCCTGCGAAAGCTGGTGATCTTCTGCGTTGCGTGCTGGGGACCTGAGCAGCTCCCTCTACTCCGTCTCTTGCTACCCTTCCTATCTCGGTGTGTCTTTTTTGTCTTTCTAGACGGCAGGAGTTAACACAACGGATAAGGAACTAGAAATTCTCTATTTGCGCAATGTCACCTTTGAGGATGCGGGGGAGTATACTTGTCTTGCTGGGAATTCTATTGGGTTCTCGCACCACTCTGCTTGGCTGATGGTTCTCCCAGGTACTCCCCTCCCCCTGCTTTCTATCTGGGCCTGGACCCTCTCTTTCCTGTTGGGAACGTTGCAGTGGGGGATTCTTAGAAATGCCAAAGTGCCGCCTGTAGGAGGGCTGGAAACAAGACCTTCTCAAGGTTGGCCATGTTCTGTGAGGTACATGGGGTACCAGATTCAATTGGAAATGGAAATTGGGATCCTAAACTGCCAATCCCATCTGGACTGGCCATCCCAGAATAGAATTCTCCCCTTCCTTCCCTTATCAATGGCATCGCCCTCAGTGTTTCTCCTCAGAAGGCAGAATATCTTAATAGTATAGCCATCCGGGCCTTCAAATTCCCACCCTGACCATACAGTGACTCCCAAGAGTATGGACTCTGGTATAAAATGAGGCTGCCTGAGTTCTGGTCCCAACATGGCTGCTGACTTGCTGTGGGGTTTGGGAGAAGTCACTTTCTATGTCTCAATTGCCTCATTTGCAAAATGGTGATTTCCTAAAATTCCCTTCTGCTCTGGGATCCTGTTGAGGATTCTGAGGAGAAAGAGACAGATCTGTAGACAGCTTTCACAGAAGGGCCCTCTTGCTCAGTCGTGTTTGCCCACGTATGTAGAAGACAATCACCTGTACGGTATATTGGTCACCTGGAAACACGGCCAACAGTGGCCTAGCCTGTGTCTGAGGCCCTTTGCCCTGACATGCTTGCCCGTCTGTCCCCACAATTAATCTCAGCCACTCAGCAGCTGTGGAAAGCTCTAGGGGGGCTGTCCCCACTGGCTCCTTTGGCATAACTAAGCTCTCACAACATGGGAAGCTATGGATGCTCTGCTGGCCATAATTGGCCTCCGTTCACAAATCAGGGGAAGTTCCATAGGTGGGGGCCCTTGGCTCTGTGTGCCTAGGGCCCTCCTGGGGTTCTGAGCTCTTTGACTCCCTGTCCCTTCCCCCCTGCTCCCTGTTCTCCATCCTCCCCATGCCATCTCCCAAACCTCTACCATCTTGGTCAGGGCCACTTCAGATCCTAGTTCCTAATGCAGCATTTGGAAATGCTTTGCTTTGGCAAATCCAATCCCCTGATAAAGCGGTTGTCTGGTTAGAACCAGTGCCCTTTCCAAAGCAGGGAAAGAAGAATTCCCGAGGAATGTCTGAGAAAGCAGGCCCTGGAAGCTTTGCCCAAACCTTTTTCTCATTTAGTTATTTTTATTTAGGGATTTAAAACAAAACACACACACACACACACACACACACACACACACACACACACACACA